AAAACCGCAGGGAAAAGATGCAGGAGGGAGAGACTGACGTCACAGACTAAACTGGACAAGTCCATTAATTTCTTGAAAAATGTACTTCTCCCTTCCCTTCCTTCAATATATTCCTCCCTTCCTGCAATATAGCATTCACCTGTTATCAATGATCTCCCCTATCTCACATCAAAAATTAAGAATGGATTCAACCAAATAAACACAGTGCTACCACTCAGAAAGCTGTTGTAACTAGATTTTTGTTCGTTCTCTGCTTATCACTGTGAGAGCACACTGCCTGAATTTGAAATAATTTTTTAAATAAATCGTGATCTCCCAGGGAACCCCTAATGACCTCTCACAGGTCCCTAGGGTTCCACAGAACCCTGGTTGAGAAACCCTGCTGCAGAGCATCAGTTGTATTTTCAAGTGTAGCCCAGTGGTCCTGATTTTGAGATTAACACTTCTGGGAGGCATATAAACATTTAATATTATTAGGGCAATCTTATTTGTTACCATAAATCTCACTATGAGGGATTTACAGTCCAGATTTATTTGCACTGCCTCCAGATTCTACTTCCTATTTAACAAGATAGCCAAACCCCCAAAAGTGCAGCCCATAGAATGCAGTTTCCTTGCTGGAATGACCCATGATCTGAAACCAGCTAAATAAATTATATCACACTGGTTTTCTGGGATCCAAGTTTCTTGCAAACATACTATGTCATATAATTTTAGTAACTTTATGAAATCCTTGTCAGTAGTTTGAGCATTCTATCCTGCTATATTCTACACTAGGATGGATAAGTTACTTACAGATCTCTGAGTTAGTTGTCATTTATTATGTTCAGTCCTCTTGCTGTTTACAAAATGAGAAGGACATGCCTCATTTATAACTTGTGCATTGTTAGTATCAGTTTGATTTAACCCATGGGCAGGTTTGTTTTTATTTATTATTTTACTACCAGTAACTTCATTTCTTGGGGTAGGATTAGCTATTGGATCTTGGCATGGTGTTATGTCATCTGATATACAGACTGGCCACATTTGTTTGCTTATTAAATCCAAGGGACATGTTTGGATCTCCTGCCTGGATATCATTGTGACTGAATCTTGAAAAATTAAAAGCAGGCAGATGCAAGGGTCCTAGATCTCTATGGCAAGGGGCTATATTATTTGCTGCCCCTTCAGAAGGGAAGGTATGTATATTGTTTTTGGCTGCATCGTCCCATGTTGCAGGTCTTACCTTTGTTCCCCTCCCCTTCTTTTACATTTACCACTGTCCCATGAATTGATCTCTCCTTTTCAGAGCTTTAAGGTTAGGAGGGAATGAAGTTATAATTGGTGACTTTACCTGTTTATTAATCAACTCTTTTCTTAACCAGGACAATTTAACTATGATATGATTTTGTTCTATGGGGGGCAAATCATTAGAAGTATTTATAAGCTCTATTTCTTTAGGTAAGAATTTCCTGTCTACTAGTGGATTGTGTAAATTAGGTTTATCTAGAGGGGTTACAGAAATATTCTTAAAACATCTAATTACTCTAAGCCATCTTGCCTGTAGGGGGTATTTAAACTGATAAACCATTTGTGCCATGTTAACAGAGTAAAAAGCTACTAATGCTCTTGCTGTCACACCATTGTAGTACAAGTATTCCACATTTAAAGTATAATCTGAAAAAAGTCTAAGTGGGGTGAAAGTTTGAAGTAGATGCACTAAATGCAATCTTTGTTCCATCTGTGAGAGGAAGCCTCTACGTTTTGGGAAGTTGATAAATGCCAGCTTAGCATTCATTAGTTGCAAGTACCGCCTTCTGCATGAAACTTTTTTCTTAGTCCTCGGAAGAATGGAGTTTAACTATTTGCTAGATGATTTTGTTCAATAAGAGTCAACAGGTATAGGACGCTGCTGGATTAGAAGACCTGTATTGGTCATTTCAACCTTATTAGAGGCCTTGCTTGCTTCATTGGGTATGTTATTTGCTTCCATTGTCTTCCTGGGTGACTTTTTGGTTGGTCTGTTGTTTCTTTTGTCACCTGTTCCCAAAAGTTTAAATAGATTATTATACTTAAGTTTAGAAGCCTGTTTGGGAATAGCAGTATTCTTCCAGTTCTTACTTTTCCTTACTTGATTTTCTGCTTGTGCTTTCTTTTGCCTTTTCTTGGTTTTCACCTGGGACTTTTTTCTCTTATTTATAAAATGAGTCTAGGTTTGGGAATGGTTGTGCATTAGTGAATTATCATCAAATACTGTGTTTTTCTGTAGTCCAATCTCATCTGAGACTAATTTGATAAGGGTGGTCAGTAGATCACTTGAAGTAGATAGAAATTCTTTCAATAGTAATAAATCAGATGACTACTTCATGGAAAATTTGTTAAAAGTGTCATGTTGTTCTCCCAAGGCTTCTATAATTTTTTGCAAGCAGGAATCCTGTGAACCTCTCAAATAATTTGCCTCATTTGCCAATAAGGATTCCCAAGCCATGTGGTTGGAAGGGGTTGAAGTTGCCTTAGTAAGGGGCTTTTTTGTTACAGATTGAGTTCATATTGAAGATGGTTGTACTGTGAATATGCTATTGTCCATGTGTTTTTCTGTAGTCTCAGAGTTTAGCACTCTCTCAGCAACAGCTATTTCCTCAGCAATATTTGGAATATTGGAGGACCTCTTATCTATGATGTTGGTAATATCTGTCCGAGAGTGATAAGGACCAAAAGACCAGTCGCATGGCGTGTTTTCCTTTCCATTTACTTTCATGTCACTGCCCTGGTCATCAGAGTTTATTGGGGTTACACGCCTGGAGAAAAAGTCAGTAATTCTTGACTGTTGTTGAGATTTAATGTACACATCAACATCTTCAGTTACCAGGCATAGCCGCTTTTGTTTATAGCCATCTCTAGTGAGGACTATTGTTTCAGTACCTAAGCCTTTCCTTCATCAGCTCAGTTTGTAAATAGCTTTCAATAAGTGCTTACAGAAGCTGTACAGAGAGGGGACTATTATTTTAAGAGCATAATTTGAAATTGAAAATTCTGTCTTTACAATATTCTTCAAACACTGTCTAGTTTAGATAGCAAATTTCACAACCTTCCAATTTGTGTTCATTTGTAATCTTCAAATGCAATGTTAAAGCCCATACATTTTGGTATAACCTTCAGGATGTCAATACAGTACCTTAACTAGGTTTACTTCCAGGGGTTTCAATAATTTACAAGGCTTTCTATTTCTTTTACTCTATCCTCCCGCTGAGCAATCCAAGATAAAGTTTCATAAATGATCTGCTTTAGAGTTTATGCTCCAAGAGAGGTAAATATAATAAAATTTAAGACTCAAAAGCTCATATAAACTCTGGCCCTCTCATATGCCACATCCCCTGGAAGCAGCCTCTTTATTCAAATAACAGATTAATCCATTTATACTTGTAACAAAGTGGTTCTGTGGATAGGATGATGGCTTTATGGAAATGGCTTTACACCAAAATGGGGAAGTTGTGAATTATGGGAATATGGACAAATTATGGGAATATGGGCAAAATATGAAAGATTGTGCAATCCCTCTTTAATTTTGGGCTATTAAAATTTCTTTACCTCAGATATGTGCACTCCTTTGAATAAATATTTGTGGCGTGTTCTCAGTTTTGTAACAACTGTAAAAACTAGACTATAAGGAACACAGAATCTCTGGATCAGTTTTCCACGATCCTGATACTATCTGTAATGGAGCTAAACATCAAGGAGATATTATCAATCTGTGAATGATAGCCTGTTCTGTTTCCTTCCTCTCAACCCTTGATGCTGAGAAAGCAGTGGAAGTTTTAACTAGTGCTCAAATGCAGCAACAATTAAGCAGCTGAGGCTTACTCTCAGCAAAACATAAGTCCTGTTTGTGAGTTAGAAAGCTGATGTGATTCTGATGACTTTGTATTCTTCCAAAAGGGATGGAATTGGAGTATTCAAACCTCTACTGCCAGATATTCTGTCATTTATACTTGGATCACATATTTGTTGGTTGGCTACATACGACCTCTTGGGTTGCTTGTGCTACTGGGTCAGCTTCAGTAATAAAGGTGTAACATATATTCAAGTATTGTAACCTAAACTTCTATAACCATAAAGCTGAAAGCAAAAAATAACATTTCTATACATTTCTATAAAGGCTACTTTGCATATGGCAGGAAATGAGTTCCCTTTGAGTACACCACTAAAAAGAACCTGGAAATACTCTTAATAATCATGGTGAAATATTCAGATGACTGATCTGATATGCTTGGATTACAGGGAAGAGTATACTAAATCAGAATAATATGAATACTGGTTTTAGTTACAGCACAGTGAACTTAAAACAGCTTCATCTGACTTGATGCCCTTCAGAAATGTAGGATGATAACATCCAGATTTCCAAGCCATTATGCCCAAGGCAAATTGGGAATACTAGGAGTTGTAGTTCAACATATCTAATGGGCACCAGTTTGGGGAAAATAGATCTAAATCTACCAATAAATGAACCAGTTTTCAAAATACCAAGTGTGTTGACACAGATGTTTATTCTTTAATAACAACAGACAGTATGTTTTGCAGATTCACATTTACAAGTATGTTGGGGAAAATCCAGTGTAATTTTTAGCCTATTTTACAGCCCAGAAGCGGGGAAAAAGCATTACTATAGAACAGTCAGTTTATGATTAGGTTATAGTGAAGTGCTGGGGGGGGGAGGATTTTAATAATTACCCATCATCTTTTAGTTGTCAACAGTGTTTAAACCTGGGAAATGTGTGCACCAGAGAATATTTTAAAACAAATTAATAAATACAAAATTTTAAAAAGTAAGGTAGGTATATGACACCTTGCATATTGTTTAACATTTCCCATTGTACAAAGATACATTATAGGAAACTTACAGTTAACCACAAACAGAACCAGTCTAAGGAAATCCAGAATCTCCTACATAGTCACAGAAATAGGCTCAAGATACTCTTCTTTTGGCAAGTCTGAGAAATATCAAAACTATGATGGACTACATCTGTTATGTGTGATGAATTTCTTCTCAATCAACAATAGTTTCCATTCCTCTCCTTGTCCTATGGAACAGATCTGGAGGACACCCAGGGGCTGCAAGAGTAATTCTGAATTTGATCTGTCAGTAGTGTACAGTGGTGGGAGGATTACGTTAGATACAACTCAATATTTTAACAATCACATGGATGTTTACTCAGAAGTCAGTCCCACTGAGTTTAATGGGGCTTTCTCCACATACATGTTAACAGGTTTCTAATCCTTATTAATCTGGAACAAAAAATAAGATCCTATTCAGATTTTATCAAGAGTACTGGCCAAATTCTGGTAGAGGAGCCTATCTGAATAGCACCTAGCTCCTCAGAAATCTCAGGCTAATTGACTACATCAAATGGAACTTTCAATAAGAGAAAAAAATATATCATAATCAATGCCTGAATTCTGGGCTGAGCTTAGCTTCAAAGTATCAGTTATGGACAGATACATGTACATAGACTATGAGTCTCAGAAGATGGCCTTATTTGAAAATTACACATTAATATTTCCAGATACCTTGAATTGTCACCTGAAAAGCAGCTAAATCTCAAAAGACACTATGAGGTAAAGAGTGAACAAAGGCTTTGGAATTATGACATAGATCATCTTAAAAGATCTAATTTTACAGCAGAACTGACTCAAATAGGGAAACAGTAGTAAATGTTAATTCCATTAATAAGATGTGAAAGCATTCTAACAAGTGTGTCACAATGTCTGGCAATAAAAGGAAAATATGTATTTCTTTACCCAGTTAGATCATACTAACCACTGACTTGGAAATACTAATATGTCTAGGACAAATCCCATTCTTACTGGCACAGGAAGAGCTCTTAGAACCAACTGTGTAAGAATTAACAAAGTTGATTTTGCTTTTTGTGTAACATTACTTCCTTGACCATTCCCAATTTCTTTCCAAGAAATTCAAGCCTGTTATTCTGTCTAGAAGCTTGTTAAAGGAATTACACCCACTTCCAAAATGACATAGTGAAAGGAACACAGAAGGCTTTGGTTTCAGAGATGTGTTCACAGTGTAAGGACAAAAGAAAGAAACACAACTGAAGCACCAGTCCTCCTCCTCTTCAGCATGTATTCTAGGGACTGAAAGAACAAAGATAATAGCAGTCTTTCTGAGGAAGGCTGAGACTTTTAGGCAAGAACAGAATGAAATCCAGAGTAAGACAGCATTATACTGTTTAACAGCTATAATGCAAAATGTGAGAAATTCATATTCAGAGTTCTCAATTTTTTTTAATTTAAAAAGCAATTGTGGGAAATAGTACGGATTGGATTTTGAACGGTCGGATTTCAAACGATTTTGAATAGTACGGATCTTAGTAGAACTAAGAAACATATTTTCCTCTATGCACTGCAGTCTCAATTTAAATTGTATTTCTGAAATTGCTACTGGTCAGGGAGAAAACAAGACAGGTACAATCTGGCCTGTGCGCTCGCTCGCGCACTCTCTCTCTCTCTCTCTCTCTCTCTGTGTCTAACAGCACACTGAGGATATTTGGATAGTGGTAAAGAGAAGAACAGTTAATTTTCTCCGATTCTGCAATTTCTATTAACTCAAATCTCTCCACCTTGCAGCTTCCTTTAATCCAAGGAATTATTTCTAGTTGTCTGCTTAGAATAGGCTGAATGGGAAACAGAACACAAAATCTTGACATTGGCAGAACCTTTGAGTAGTTGTTCATGTTTGTTCTAAAAAGCTTTACAGCAACTCCGTACCTGATTTTAGTCTATGCTGAACCAAAGAGGAAGAGGCCATAATCACTGCAGTTTATCTCATAGGATAAATCTCAATTCTGGAGAAATTACAACCACAACTGATTTAACCTTAATTCAAAGAAATTCAAGGATCTCTTGAGTTTGAATCACCTAACCCAAACAATAAAGGAGCAAACCTAAGCTAAAAGTGGCTTAAGATTTAAACAGCCTCTTCCCAAATTATGGTTCGGCAAAACAAGGGAAATATATAGTTTCACTTCTTTGCTGTTTCGCTTTCTACCGAAATTCTATTCAAGATAGTTTACATTTTTGGACAATGTTGATGCTCAGAACTTGAATAGTAAAGTATCCTCAGGCACAGTAAGAGTCATCCTGTGTCACAAGCTGTAGCTCATCTAGTGCTGCAGAACTTCTCTTTGGTAAGAGAATCGTCCTTTAAAGAGAGAAAACATACAGGGGAAGCTGTTGGAGAAGAAAGCAGTCAGCAATTTGAATGGCAGAACAAGGCAGAATATATACTTTAGCAGCCTGAAATAACAATCTTACTTGGAGTGAGGCATAACTAATGAAATACTGAATCTTCAGGTGACAGAAGCAAATCCCAGTATCTGCAAACAGTTTGTTCCCAACAAACTTCCACTTTTAATGTGCAATGGACTCCTCAGTGAAGTGCAAAGCAATATAACATTTGAGCTTTGTACACGCAGAGCTGCTGGTAACAACTACTGCAGGTCTTAGGAATGCTCCAGAGCACGGTCTAAGATTTTGCTCTCTGGTGCCTCAAAACTCTTTCTTGTATGGTCACTGACTTGAATCATTATGGGGCTACCAAATATCCATCAACCTTAGTATTAGCATGAGTAAACAAATTGTTAAGCACCAGAAAGAACTGTAGGATCTTGGAAACTGTAGAGGAAACAATGTGAGGCTCAAAAAAGGAAATATTGGCAAGAACTGTTTGCTTTTTTTGCACTGTCTTGCCTGAAACCAATCCTTCACACCATTCCTTTGATAAAACTTGTGTCCAAGTGCACAATCAGCATGCGCAGGAAAGACATCTCTTTGCGGGTATTTTCAAAGATGATTCTGGGGTCATCAGACTGGCATCGCAGACAGTTTGGAGCCATCACCATAGCCAAATTGTTTACATCCATCTTGGTTTTGCCTACATTGGTTGGCTGGGCAAAAATCTGTGAAATAAAGGAAACACAGCTCAAATTAAGGAGAAAAATTAAAGGTTTGTCACAGGCAAGATGACTTAGCTTCTCTAGCTCCTCAAAGGAAAATGTTCAGAAAGACAATGGAATCACTGTAGACAGCCTTGCACTGAGTATGATGACAGAAGAAATCTAGATTGATATTTCACAGTATCTGCAAATGCAATATCAAATGAGGCACCCCCGAATAGAACAACCCTATAGATTCTTTCTGCTATTTTAGAATGATTCCTGCTCAGGCATTCTCCATCTATGTACCTGTAAGAAGTGGATGAGGTAACACAAGACCAATCTATTGAGCTCTGGCAGGAGTTCAACTACAGCCACTGCAGCATCAGGATTCTCATAGTTGCTGACACACTCCTTGTAGAATTGTTGTGGGATGACAGGCTCTTCCAGTTCTCGGTACCACAGCTTTAGCAAAGAAGCTTCAAGGACAAGAAGCAACCCAGAGACATTTACAACAATAATAGCATGCTGTCTGTTTTACCGACATTATGTATCTATGTTTGTGTACCATGTAAACTATATTGGAACTGCTAATGTGTGATATTATATTTTTGGGGTTTAACATTAGCTGTTTTGAGAGATGTGTTAGCACTAAAATATACATAAAATGTCTAAATAATATGTGGTGCTTACTGTTCCAAAGTGGATCTCTGAGTAATCACAACACTCTTTCCTCCTCTTCCTAGATAAACTAGGCAACTGACTCTATCCTCTCTAAAAGGAATAACAGCATCATATATTGAGCTCGACTGGTTTAGACTTTTGACAATCACAGGACACAAATCATAAATGGAAAGTCTTAGGGCAGCAAATGTTCTCTTCAGAAGCGATTACTAAAAGTTTTGCAGAAAGTGAAATATAAACAAGGAAATATACATTTAGTAGACTTAAAACTGCTAACCCAGCTGAGATCTTCGACTACATTTTCAACAGTTTTGCTCTTCTCCTATTTCTCCATACCTGGTATATTGGGATCACTAAGGTTATTAGGAATCTTCCACTGATCCACCTGTAGTTTTAGAGCATTGACTTCATCAATGTCACCAGGAATTCTGAAAGCATACACAGACAGACAACAATGAAGCTGAATTTCAGAGGCAGAAAATCATACACATCCAGAAATAAGTGGCATTAGTGTGACCAAATAAAAAACATTAGCTGAAGCATTTCTGAGAGGCGGATACATAGTTAATAATAATTTCAAACCAGCAAGGAAGTGTTGCTGCCTGGATGGTCTATGGTTTTAGTTAGCTCAACCAGACGGGCTATTTTCTAAGACTTTTTATTCCATTTTTCCTCCTATATTTTCCATTGTTCTTTTTCAGAATAGGCAACTGAGCGTAATCAATCATTATAGTTTTGGGATTCCTTTACTATGTTTGTTTGTTTGTTTCTTTTTTTTTTATATTTTGCTTTTTGCGACATTCCTTTTGTATGCAGGTAGTACTCTTTTGGTCACTAAGTGATCCACATTCCAAGAATAGGTTTATTGTTAGCATGCATAATTTTAAAATAATCAAAATAAAGTTTTGGCCTTACTCACACAATAGACATGTTGGAGAGGCACTTGTTTTCTGGGAATGCATCTGTCAGAGATAGCTCAAATGTGACGATATATATTATGAATTCCCCCCTGCACCTTTCTACAACCACAATATAAATTGAGTCTGATTCACACAATATCTTAAGGTGTTGAAAGAACAGGATGTGGTTCAGCATGCTGTGTGTACTCCGCCACTATAGTTTGTAGCCCAGCTTATGGTTTCTCATGCTGTGTGAACCCACCCATGTGATTTATTCAATAAATCATGGTTAAACAATTTATAATTTAGTATGTTCTATGTACCAAGCATAAAACTACCATATATCAAATTTTAAGCCTGCAAAGCTTAATCTTATAGGGGATAAAATCAGCTTTCCTGACGTCTTTGATAGCATAATGATTTGGAATCCATGGGTCCTGTCCAATTTTTTGTAGTGGCTATTTTCTGTCCCTGATTCTCTACTCATTTCCAGGTGTGGTTCCTTATCCTGAATCTTCAGGATAATGTTTAAGTAAACAAATGCAACACATCTCTAACTTATTACATCACTGTTTCTTGCCATCTCAAACCCTCTAGCTGGGTTAATATCTAGTCTGTGTATGAGGGAAGAATGGTCAGGAGAAGCAGTGTTTCCCATCCCATGTTTCATGCAATATTTTCCCCCCATCCCAGCTGTGTTTGAAGATGCTACCCACATAAAGGCATTTACAGAAATGATGGTATACTACAGTGTTTCTCAACCTTAGCAACTTTAGGATGTGTGGACTTCAATTCCCAGAACTCCCCAGCTAGCCATGCTTCTGGGAGTTGAAGTCCACACTGGTATACTGGGAGAGAGAGAAAAAAATCACAGGAAAAAATGTAATTAACACCAATGGCTTTATTATTATTTTCCCTCATAACTAGAATATATACTTGTTTAGATCGAGACTTTTGGCTTCAGCTGGCTATGCAAAGAAAAATAAGTAAGAGGGCAAAATGGGATGCAACTTGTCTCATTATTATTCGTAGACTAGTTTCATAGCCAACTGCTATTTTACATAGCATTATCTTTTGTACTAGAATACCCTAAATACTGTACTTTCTGTAGCTGTTTTAATTTCATACAGGAAGTCTGTGATAACCTCATAGCTAATTGGCATTTTAATACTTAAGAAACTGCCCAGATAGAACTAGTATAATAATTTAACAGAAGTGAAATACTTCAAATATTTTCAGGAAGGTATCCATGTTTACATAATATGCCCTTTTGTAACAGCAAAGGGGAAATACCTCTGTTTACCTTGAAAGATCACTTCAGAATAAGAGTGTTGACTGTAAACCAAGATAACATACTGGGGATGAAAGATTATTTGAAGGATCATTATATTTTTATGGATGAATTGAAAAATAGTTGCTATTTATCTCCCTGTCATTCAAGAACAAGATCTGATCCTCAGGTTGTTCAAGAGATCATAATTGCAGAAACTTCAGATAACAAATATTCAGAAATATCTGTCATCTTTTAGTTTTTGAGTATCTATCTGCTCTGAAGCAAGTTTATAAGCATTGTAAAATGCATACATTTCCTACAAGCATATTTTGTTCTAAAACTCTATAAATGAAGCCTCAGATGTCTACTCTCAAAACGAAGAAATGTGAGGTGTGATCAAACACAGGTGAATGATCTACTGTTGATGACCACCAGTACTGCATCATTTAAACAGCTGTAGTAAGCTATTTACCTGAATATTCCCTCAGTCTGTTCTCCCCCCAGTCGCAGTACTTGCTGAGACAGCTGTGTTTGTACCCAAGGCAACTTGTTATCTGGATACATGTCCTGCTGCCGTGACATGATTTCTTCCAGAGAGCTGCCAAACAGTGAAGGTGTCACAATAGCATTCTTGGCATGTATTATCTCCTCAACTGTAGGTTTCCGGAGACCCTGTAAGAGTAGTAGTAGTAATAATAATTATAATTATAATAGGAGGAGGAGGAGGAGGAGGAGCAGGAGGAGATTGCAATACCCGGAGACAGCAGAATAGAAGAGAAAGAACAGAAGAAAATCACAAAATATAAAGACCTGCAAATAGAAGTAGAATGACTATGGCAAAAGAAAGCAAAGATAGTACAGTGGAACCTCGGTTTACGAACTTAATTCGTTCCGTGACTCTGGCCGCAACCCGAATTGGTCGCAACCCGAACGAAATTTCCCCACAACGTTCAATGTAATTAACGTTAATCCGCTCTG